AGATTTCACCAAAAGACAACAAAGAAACCAGACTGAGCTTTGGGTGCGGTGCCCATCATCTCACACCTGCATAAACTCTGGCTGGTGGGGGGTTCACACAGTGGATTTCCAGCCTGTGTTCAGAGTTCCAAGTCCCCTTCAGCTACTGTCTGGTGAGACTGCCAGGGCCCAGGCAACCTGCACAAGAGATGAAGGGACCCAATTTGCTAAACAACAGGCTAAATGAACCACTTAGCCGATGGCTCCCCGTGCTTTGCCAGTGGGGCTTTGGGCAAAAGATGAAAAGGACTCAATTCACGTTCACCAGGTTTTCAGACCTCTAGTGGATGGACAGAAATACACAAAACTGTGCTGCAATGCAGCACTGTGTGCACATGTGATGGTTTTTAAAAATGACTGCAAATTCTTTGTCACCGATCCCGTCAAGGGATGGGTCTGTGTACCCTCCCCTTGAATACGAGTGACTGTGACTGCCTTGAGCAGCAGGGTACAGTGGAAGTGACGCTATGTAACTTCTGAGTCTAGGTCTTAAGGGCTACGCTGCTTCTGTTGAATTGTTTACTTTCTGGGAGCTCCCTCCTGAAACACGCCCTCTCAGAACCCAGCTACTGTGCTATAAGAAGCCTGAGTCGCACGGAGAGACCACTTGTAGATGCTGTTGACAGTCCCAGCTGAGCTTAAACTTCAAGTCCTCCCAGACCAAACACCAGACAAGTGAGTGAAGGAACCTCCAGATGATTCCAGTACCCAGCAGTGCCCAGACATCACAGAATGAAGACAAGCCATCCTTGCAGGGCTGTCCAAATTCCTCAGCCATAGAATCCTGTGCATAACAAATTAGCTGTTTTATGTCACTAATGCAGACTATTTAGGTGGTTTGTTATGCAGATAGACAACAACCAAAATAGCACACAACGATGAAAAATGCCCTTAGAGCAAGGAATTCAATATGTTGGCAATGGAAAGTTGTTTATGTTTTGAGAACAAGCAGAGGCTTTAAGGAAGTGGATCACTCAACAAGTCCATGTGGGGACCTCCAAAGTCCAAATCCTGGATCTCGTCTTTTCCGTAGGCTCACGCTGCCCACAGCAATCTTGGCTTAATCCTGGAGGGTCTCGATGGATGAAGCACCTCCACCCTTTCCAGGGCGTCCCTCCCCTCTGGTCCGTGTCGTGCTTTATACTAGACTGTCTCCTCCACCTTTGGACCCTCAGCCAAGCACAAGGGCTGGTCAGAAGAACCAAGTTGTTGAACTGAACACAAAGGGCCATGGGGAAAGGATGGTGTGTCCTAGGTGTCGTTTCTTTCCCCCTGGTCCCCAGGTTTCCTGAGATCTCTTACCTGCTTCTGTGGAGGAATGTGATGAAAAAGACTCTATCTGGCATTTAGTAAGCACCTACTATATGGCAAGCGCTGTGCAAGGTATGTTCATGATTACCTCATTTAATTTTAAAAGCCCACAAGGTGGGACCATGCTTAGGAGAAGAAGAATTCTTGATGGAGTGGGAACATGAACCTGGGTTTCTGTCCCCCCAGCCTGTCCTGTTTGACCTGAGGAGACGATGCTGTTGGTCTGGGAGTCTGGAGGACTTAAGCTCGTGGGCGGCTTCCTCACACAGGGGAAAGCCCCCTGGGGGCGCAAGCAGAGCAACTGTCTGGTGGGGAATCAGTTCAGAATCTTCCCTGGGCATTTACAGACAACCAGAAAGCCGCCGGGCGTCCAGTTCTAACAAAGCTCAGGGTCAGAGGGCAAAGGGCCAACTGGCGAAGTACCGCTCAGTCAGACCAGGCGCAGGGGCTGGGCTGGCAGCCTGAACCACCCTGCTGCCTTATCTAGACATCAGCCTGACTTCCCTGCAGCCCCCGAGCCGGCGGGCCACGCTAGCTGTGTGTTTTGTCACAGACCAGACAGAATCCCTCGCACTGACTAATAAAATGATTTCAGAAAATGACTTTTTTTTCATAAGCGGGAGAAACAAAGACCACACAAGATCATTTCCTATTTGTGTCATTTGACAGAAGACACATTGCTTGTTGGAGAAACAATGAAAAAAACCCAACTTTAGATTAGTGCTAAACAATTTCATTCTGAATAAACTGGATTTGCTAAGAAACAAAGATGGATAGACTGACAAGGACAAAGAAAAAAAGGAGTAAACAGCCTGAGGGACAGAGGGGATGAGAGAGGGACAGAAGGGAAAACTAGGGTTATTCTAAGTAAAATTCTGCCTCTTCTTCATTACTTACTAGCCTCAAAAAAGATACTGTAAAATTGTTTGACAATTTCTTAAAAAGTTAAATATATATCACACATGACTAAACAATTCCACACCTTGTGTGTACCCACAGGAAATGAAAACACGTGACCACACAAAGAATTGTACATGACTGTTCATATCAGCATTATTCATAATAGTCAAAAGCTGGAAACAATCCAAATGCCCATCACCTGGCAGATGGACAAACAAAAGGTGGTACACTCAGCAATAAAAAGGAACAAATTCCTGACCATGCTACAACGTGAATGAACTCGGATACATGATGCTAAATTAAAGAAGTCAGACTATTTCATAGAACTCATCTCAGTTCTAGGGAATTTCTGAAAAAGGCAGAGCTATGGAAAGATTAGTCATTGCCCAGCATGGGGATGGGAGTGAAGATCAACTGCAAACAGGCACGAAGGAACTTTCTGGGGTGAAGGACGTGCTCTACACCTGGATCATGGTAACAGCCGCACAACTGTATATACTTAGTAAAACTCACGGAACTGTAGCTTAATACAGGTTAGTTTTATGGTAAGTGTAAACTACACCTCAAAAAAGCTGTTTAAAACAAGATGTTCTGCAGGTCATGTAAGTCCGGAGTACATAGAAACAAAGAGTACAAAGGAAAAGGCCACAACGTTCGCCAGGATGACCGAGAACATGGTAACATTCCAAGCGCGTCAGTGTTATGGTTGGCTTAGCGCAAGCCTGCTCAGCTAACCCTGGAATATCAAAATCAGCTTAAAGATAATTTCATATAAAAGGTTTATATAGCAGGTAATAAAGGTACTCCCCTTATTATTTTCGGAGGAAGAATCCATAGACAGAGTTAAATTTTAAATCAATTCACGGATAGACAGATCTCAAATAAAGTTATTCAGAGAAATCAGGAATGACTGAAGGCACACCTAAGAATGACATTGTATTAGAAGATGCCAACAAACCAAAAAAAAAAAAAAAAAGACACTGTAGCAGGCAAAACGCATGCCTCCACGAGAGTCAGGATAGAGAGCTGGATGCGTTGGAGTCCAGGTGGTACTACTTATGCATTAAGATTCTGTTTTCCAGAAACTTCCCGGGCAAGGGATGGCATGGTACTGCAGAAGGGGGGACATAGCCCCAAAATTCCCTCACACTGACAAGACAAAACACAACATTCTGGCTTTGGAGACGGATAGACCAGATTTTAAACCAACTCTGCCTCTTGTTAAAGTTTTAAATACTTTCAACTGTTAAATGGGCTTACTGTTGTCTACCCTAGAGTGTGGCTCTGCAGATCAGACGAGTGCGTGTGAGTCAAGCACACACTCCGACGAGGTGCCCATACCCCACTGACTGTGCCTTCTGGACATTGTCTGCTTAGCCCTGAGGCTGGGGAAGTACAATTTACCAAGGTACATTGTGCCCTAAAAGGAATCATCTCACGTTTCTTTCCACGGCTTATCACCGTCCACAGTTCTTAAGTACCGTTTTATACTTTTGGTAACTTCGCAGTGGAAGAGTCATGAAGTGAGGCCGTGGGTCCGTGTAGCATCTCCTTCACCCTGTGGTCTGACCAAACATCAGCGGTGCGGAACGTCTAGAAGAACACACTATGCAACAGTCCTCAGTTAAGTTCCAGTCTCAGATTGTCTCAACCTACCTGCGCCTCTTGCAGCTGGCTCAGCCAGAGTTTAAAAACACCCTGTTGCATTCCAGATGTTTATTATCTGTGCCTATGAAAGAGGGAAAAAACATACTGCCAAGAAAATGTGGTAGATGGATTAATCTTTCCTTTCTTCTTCCTGTAAGAAAATTTCACATTCTTTGTTAAGAATTTAAAATACAGATAAGAAAAAGTAAACAATCTCTCAAATACTTACCATCCAGAGATAATCATATTAACATTTTTGTGTGTTATTCCAAACATTTCCTACGTAACACTAGCATGCATGGATAGTCTGTGAATGCAGTGTGTGGCTGGACACTGGAGCCAGACTAGCTGGGTTCACCCCGTCTCTGCCACTTACAGCTGTGTGATCCCATAAACTGGGAGACGACGGTACATTTCTCAGAGTTCTTGTCAAGGACAAGTGAATTAAACATAGGATATGCTCAGAACTGTGCATGCTATAGAACAAGCACCCAACAAATGAGAGCCACTGCTCCATGTCGAGACGTGTCATGCAACACCATGTCCCTGCCTATCTGTGCACGTACATAGCACATGCATATGTGTATGCCTGTCTACTGACATGTGTACAGGCCTGTTCTGAGTGTGTGAATATGTGCAGCTCTTACGTCTAAACACTCAAAATGGGATCGAATTTAAGGTAGTCTTTTTTTTATATAACATATGAAAGTATCTTCATATAAATAAATACACATCTGTATCACCATTTTAATGACTAAAATACAATTCTACTGTACAGATATACCATACTAGGTACACTGTGCAAATGTGGATCATTTAGATTGTTTTCATAATTATTTTGAGCTGTATTTGTGAGCTACCTAGTAGACATCACAGAAATTCAAAAGCAAGTCAAATAAGGATCAGACAAATAGCAGTCCGCTAGATCAAACCAAGACTATTTTCCACCCCTTTGAATTTCAAGCTAGTGAAGTGGCTTATTCAGCCCACTCAAGTCTAGTTATGATTTAAGTCAGACCATATAATTTAATACCTGCTCAACATTAAAAACAGTGACATCATCATTTGAGTAGAAATTTTATTTAATAAAAAGACAACATGATTCTTCCAAACAAAAAAATCAAGAACACCTGTAAAGCTTCCAACTCTGCAGATATGTCTGGGCGTTACTGTGCTGTCAGCTCCCTGACACATCCAAGGTGGCCCCCGAGGACAGGGATTAGGCATTGCAGGGCTGCAGGGAAACCACAGGTGAAAACGCACACTACACATTCATTTTCCAATCTAACTCTCTAGTGAATGTTGGCATGACAGGGAAGGTCTGTGAGGTATGTGCAGGGTAGAACCCCCAAAATCACTGGCTGTAGTTACCACATATCGCCCAGCCATGAGTGTTGACTAACAGGCTTGGAAGGACGATTGTGGGTCACAGCTGCACTGATAACTGGCCTGTCCACGAACTTCACAGCACACAGTTTTGGGTCATTGTCGTCGCAGGGCGCATGCTCCAGTTCCAGCACTATGACGGTATTTGGGGTTGAGGTTTTCAGGATGTGTCGCGGCACAAACAAGGTCATCTGGGGGCCCCGTGCTGGCCAATAGCGGCCAAGGTTAAAGCCATTAATCCACACCTGACCCTGGTGAGAGAGAGAGAGAGAGAGAGAGAGAGAGAGAACCATCAATCCCAGATGCACCCACAGCCTTGAGGACACGGCAGCCCTGACGCAGGGGCCAGCAGTGGAGCGAGCAGGAAATGCCTCCATGCAGATGTGGCTGGGAAGGAGGCCACGCCAGTCTTGGCTCCAGCATCCTGCTGAGATATCTGGCCAAGTCAGGCAGAGGGTGGGTGCCCCAAACGCCCACTCCTGCATCAGGAAAATACAAGTTTGATCCCTCTGACTGGCTTCAGTGGCCATAGATGTCGGAACTGGAGAACAATGTGGCTGTTTTGCCAAGTTTCTGAACCTTGTCCTGGGTCCCAGGTGCTGCCTGTCTCCGTGCGCCAGCCTCTCCCTGCCTTCTCTGTACACAGAGCTGCTGAAGTGCTGCCTTCAGTAGAGGAGTTTTCCTTCTTTGTTCTCTCCTCCTAGAGGCAGGTCTTTTTTGAGACAGGGTCTTACTCTATTGCCCTGGGTAGAGTGCCGTGATGTCAGCCTAGCTCAAAGCAACCTCAAACTCCTGGGCTCCAGCAATCCTGCTGCCTCAGCCTCCTGAGTAGCTGGGCCTACAGGCGAGTTCCACCACATCTGGCTAATTTTTTCTATTTTTAGTAGAGATAGGATCTTGCTCTTGCTCAGGCTGGTCTTCAACTCCTGAGCTCAAGCCATCCTCCCGCCTCAGCCTCCTAGAGTGCTGGGATGACAGGCGTGAGCCACCGCGCCCAGCCTAGAGGCAGGTCTTGACCATGCCGCTGTACACCCAGTGAATGCAGGGCACTGAGCACACCAGGGCCTGCGGCCTGAGAGCAGACAGGCTCCAGGAACGGACCCCCAACAACCCCTTGAGCTGGCTGTGGAGCTGAGGGAGGGGAAGAGGCCCACCCAGTCGGGTGTCTGTATTACCACTGTGCTTCAAGGGTTCTCTCAGGCACCCTCAGAGGGAGGGTGCGGACTGCACACTCGATTAAGGAGCAGAGGTGACTCCACATGCTGCAAAAACACTTTCTGTGAGTAGCAGAAGTGGCTTCCTGTGACACAAGTGGAGGAGAAACTGCTGAAATACAGAGACCGTGCTCAGGTGTGTCTGCACAGCCTCCCTGCACGCGCTAGGGTTTGCTCAAAGGATGGGATCAACAGATGGAACGTCCCGTTACAAAGAGAGAAAATGAAGGAGGGAGATCACACACACATACAAGATAAAAGAAATCTGAGAGATGAAGGAAGGAAGAAGCGAGAAGGAACTGGGGAAAGAAAGGGAGAAGGGAGTGGCCCAGTTCTCCTGGGAGCCAGCCTGGAGGAGGCCCAGCCACGGCTGTTACCTGCCGAGCGCTGACCCCACCATGCTCCGCGACACGGCTGCGGGTGCTCACCCCAGGGCTACTCAGCCGCTTACCTTTGGGTATTTTTCAGCCTCCAAGTGCCCCCTTTTTCTAGCTTCTTCTGAATTTCCTACCTAGGTAAATTCTTAGTCCTGCCACTTACCAGCTGTCTGACCTTGGGCAGGTCAACTCAATTTTTCATACCAGTGACTGGGGACAATGACAACAGAAGGAGGCAGTGCATGCCAAGTGGCTGGCACCCAGGAAGGGCTCCGTGAATGGCAGCACTCCCTACACTACTGCAATGAAAAGAGCTTGGAGTTCAGATGCCCACAAAAGACGGGGGTCCACGATTAAAAACCACCTGTCTGTTGGATGAAGTCATTTAGAAAAAGGAAGACGGTGTCACAGTTCTCAGAACTATTTTACTTTTGTTTTTACCATGGGATACGTTATCTCGATCTATCCTAAAAGGCATATATGATGACAGCTTTACCAGGTTTTTATCAGTTGAAAATCTGCGGGTGTCTTGTTTTTGCAGTATTAGAGAACAGTGGCATTTTACTTTTGTGGTCAAGGGAGAAGATGGCTTCAAAGGTAGATTAGTGACAGGGCTCTGTGAGCAGTACCCGAGGGACGGCATATGCTACACAGGCTTCGTGCCACGTTCCTGACAGGGGCCGAGCCAACTCCTGACCAAATAGCAGGTGAACAAAGTTGGGTTTTGTCCCTTCTCACACCTAAAGTTCCAAGAGACTGTCCCTCACATCCCTCGTGCTACACTGTGCATGTCAACCTGGTGAGCAAGCTGGGAACTGACTCCCCGCATCCCCTGCGCCGCATGGCTCTGGGTCAGGGCTGTCAAAAGAGGATCTGGCTTGAGACTGGGAAGGGGAACGGGGAGCAGCGGCCATTGCTCTGGGAGGGTCCACTGCTGGTCAGACACGGGACAGATAGAACCAAGGGTCCTGGCAAGCTCCAGCCAGCTCATCCTCCCAAATGCTGGCCGCGCTGACAACGGCGCAGCAGCCGCGCAGAGGCAGCAGTTCCCAAAGACCTCTGCAGGCTCCCCAAGGCACTACCTGGGGACCTGGACCTGCTTCTCAGACTCCCCGGGACTACTCGTGCTGGTGTTTCAGGAGGGCTGTATAGTGTTTCCGCCCCTGACTCTCTGCCCCCTGCTTTTGGCCTTGGCTTTCCCAGCTCCTCCCGCACGTGTGTGAGGTCCTATTCCTGGTGGTGAATGCTCAGAGTGGCTCCACTTTCCAGACTGAACCGTGACTGACAGAACCCCGAAGTAGAGAGCCTTGCCCAGGTCTTTCTTACTCACCCACGCTTCCTTCTTATCTAGACTCTACCTATGTCCCCTTCCCCTCAGCTGCTGAGTGGACAGTGATGCGTCCAGCTCCCCGTGAGCCACACTCTCTGAACAGGCAGGGACAGTGCGTGTACTCCTGGCTCACACCAGCCCGCACAGGGCCTAGGACACAGCGGGTCCAGTGACTGCTCGGGGGTGACGATGGGTGAATGAGTTACTGCCTCCTTCAAGTACACTGACAGATCATGCTAGCGTTCCTGGAGCTATCAAACCTTAACCCAGAAGCGGAAAGAAATTTCACATAAAAAATGCAGAGGTTTGATTTCCCTTTTTTCCTTGCATATATGGTAGAATTAAAATTTGAAACTACCCAAGCCTTGAGTTTCCTGTACAAGAATGGGAAGGTTTTTTGGTCTTGTTTTTTGATTCTTAGATTCAATTCCTTTAATAGATACATAGCTGTTTCAATTTTTCCATCTTCTTCTTTTGTCAGTTTTGTTAGTTATGGGAATTTTCCCATTTCATTTGAATTTTTGACATGAAATTATTCAAAATATCCTCTTAGGTCTCTAGTAATGTCTCCTTGTTTTTCATCCTTTATAACTGAGTAGCTTTGCCTTTTTTTTTCCTCTTCAATCGGTCTTGCCCAGGTTTATTAATTTTTTGCTAGAACCAACTCTTCATTTTATTGGTTCTTTATTGTACATTTGGTTTTAATTTCATGAGATTCTAGTGGGTTTTCTTTTCTTTCTTTCTTTTTTTTTTTTTTTTTTGGATTTTTTAAGGAATGGAGTCTCACTATGTTGCCCAGACTGGCCTCGAACTCCTGGGCTCAAGGGCTTCTCCCACCTTGGGCTCCTGAGTAGCTGGGACCACAGGCACGTGCTGCCATATCCAACTTGGCGTTATCATTTTTAAGGCAAATTTTTTTTTTTTTTTTTTTTTTTGAGACAGAGTCTCACTCTTTTCCCCGGGCTGGAGTGAGTGCCGTGGCGTCAGCCTAGCTCACAGCAACCTCAAACTCCTGGGCTCAAGCAATCCTCCTGCCTCAGCCTCCCGAGTAGCTGGGACTACAGGCATGTGCCACCATGTCCGGCTAATTTCTCTATATATTTTTAGTTGTCCAATTAATTTCTTTCTATTTTTAGTAGAGACGGGGTCTTGCTCTTGCTCAGGCTGGTTTCGAACTCCTGAGCTCAAACAATCTGCCCGCCTCGGCCTCCCAGAGAGCTAGGATTACAGGCGTGAGCCACTGCATCCGGCCTAAGGCAAATTTTTAAGGCATACTGTAGCATAACATGCACACAGAAAAATGTAGTCTGTCATTGCAATATCTGATTTTTTCAAAAAAATTAACACTCTTGTGTAAACAGCACCCTGATCAAGAAATAATAACATAGCTGCCCCAGAAATACCTCTCTTGCCCCCTTGAAGTCACTATCTTTCACCTCCTCCCCAATAATGTCCACTGTTCTGATTTTACTTGCCATAGATTCATTTTGCCTAATTTTGAAATATATAAATATAATCATACATCATAAAGTTTTTAATATCTAGCTCATCACATAGAATAGTCCTTTGTTGATTTTACCTGCTGTATGGTACTCAATGGTATGAATATGCCAATGTTTATTTATTCCTTTTACTACTGGAAACAGGCATCTGGGTTGTTTCCAGCTTTTGGCTGTTAAAAATAGCACTGCCGGCCGGGTGCTGTGGCTCACGCCTGTAATCCTAGCACTCTGGGAGGCCGAGGCAGGAGGATCGCTTGAGCTCAAGAGTTCAAGACCAGCCTGAGCAAGAGTGACTCCCTGTCTCTACTCAAAATAGAAAAATTAGCTGGGCATTGTGGCGCATGTCTGTAGTCCTAGCTACGTGGGAGGCTAAGGCAGGAGGAGGATCACTTGAGCCTGGGAATTTGAGGTTGTGGTGAGCTGTGATGACGCCACTGCATTCTACTCAGGGTGACAGAGTGAGACTCTGTCTTAAAAAAAAAAAAGAAAATTGAACCACCTTTCTCATTGCCCCCACTTTAAAAAAATTTAAACAAACAAAAATAAAAATAGCACTGCTGATATGAATATTCTTGTACATGCCATTAGGAACACACACGTACATCTTTCTTATAGGAGTAGAATGCTAGAAATGGAATTGCTACTTCACGGGGTAGGCATATGCCCAACTTTTGCAATAGCATAAAGAGTAGCTACAAAAAAACACACGTGAAGGAGGAACTGAATTTTCACTTTTAACTGATTTAAATTTAAATCTAAATAGACACATGTAACTAATAGCTATCACACTGGGATGCAGAGCTGAGGCATGGTGCCGTGCCTGTGATT